CTGGTGAGTTCATACCCCTACCCATTTTCAATGTTTTCACTGTTTTCAGGGGGGAATACAAGCAAAGTACAAGGGATACTTGTACTGAAAAATGGTTTTATATATGTTATGTTTCATATTTCATTTGCTTTTAACATTAACAGTCGTAACAAACAACCGTTGAACTTGCAGAACACACTATCATATTATTTGTGAAAAACATTATAAATTGTTGTATTTTATTTTTTCACAAATGGTTTTTCCCACATCATAACAGTTAAAATCATAACATTGAACTTTGAACATGAAACTTAGAACATTGTTTTGTCCTCGGTAACACTCCACAGAGATATGCGAGAGGAGGATCGTCATTTGATCTTTCTGTATTATTACTAGTAAATTTGTTATTCCTATAAATTGGAGACACGTCCTCGGAGAACACTCCACGGAGATACGCGAGTGGAGGACCGCCCTAGTAACCAGAATCTCTTAGATAGTGAGCGTGAGTTGAGCGTATAGATCTATACAGGGCTGACTACCCCGCACCTGGCTGCTAGCTACAGCCGAATCAAAAGGTTCAAGGGTGACGAAAGTCATAAAGTGAGATGGAGTACTTATTGCCATCTTTAGTCTATCGTATGGTTATGGAACACGCAATCTGGATAACAGAGATTTACTTTTTAGTAATAATGGATTTCAGTAACTAGTTTACTTTGTAGTTATTAGTTTTATATACGTGTTAAAACTAATACATTTCAGTACACATCTTTTACATTACATTTCGGATTGGTAAACTAACATACATTTCACAAGGATAACCAGGTTTTTAGTATACATCTTTCACATTACATTTTAGATCAGTAGCCAGCTTTTAGGAAAATTTGGGATTTTCCTGGGATAACAATTAAACATAACCAGAACCATGTAACATAACAGATAACTAAACTTTACATAAAAGAAAATATGGGATTTTCTTGGGTTGTAAATTTTTCAGAAACCGAAAGGAAACTCGTACATTTTCAGAAAACAAAACCACTTATGAACTCACCAGCTTTATGCTGATTTTTAAAATGCTTGTATTCTCAGGTCCGCATTAGACAGGTACCCGATGATCCTTTTGGCGAAGACGGAGTATGTAGAAGACACGTCTTGCTTTTGTTCACATATATACATATGTATCACACTTGTACAAATTTACTTTTGAAACAATGTAAAATTTCATATGTAATGTAATGGTTGTTTACTTTGCTTACTATGTGCATTGGATTTGATACTCAACGTAGAGTCCGCCCCATAAATGTTTCCGCCTTGGTTTTCGGGGTGTGACAGATTGGTATCAGAGACCTTGTTTATAGTGAGTAAAGTATACCAAACCTTACATGGTATAAACTATAAACACTAAGGGGCCTAAGTGCTCTGAACTAAAAGTATATTCCAAAGTATAAGTATTTTCAAAAGTATACAAGTATACCTAACCGTCGAGATCCGTAACTACAAGTAGAACAAACACATAAGTAAATGGGTGTTATATGTTGCGGTTAAACCTTGGCAGTTATGTAGTCATGTCTAGGATAAATATAGCCTGGCCAACTATATTCATTCGAGACACGACCAACATGTTCTTGGGAGTGACTGTGGTGTTCAGCATGCCTAAAACTTACCCTAATACCCCAAACATCGAACCATGGTCGTAGCAAATCATGAAATACTATAGGAGTATTTATCGAGCCAATCCTTTGTAGAAATCCTCATTCAAACGTTGTTCCCTGATCATTCCTTTAGCGATAATTTATCTGCTTTGATAGCTCTTTCCAACTTTATCGCTTATTCAGAATATATAACTGTCATATCTCTTGATTCAATTCGGCGGACTTATCTTCCTCTCTTTCCTGATCTTATTAGATGAAGATGCCTCTAAGAAAGAGACCCAACTCAAAGACCAACAACCCTCCACCACCACCTTCTCCTCAAATTGATCTCGTAACGCTTCAGACAGCTATTACTGCTGCAGTAACATCCGCCATGTCACAAATGAACCCCAGTAGTTCAGGAGGTGGTCCCCAGCCCCAAAACCCAGAAGATAGCCAGAGAAACCGAAAATAGGGTTCCTATAAAGATTTCATGAACGCGAAACCCACGTCCTTTGATGACACTGGAGGTGTCATTTCCCTCACCTGATGGTTCGAGAAAATCGAATCCATTTTGAAATCTATGCTTGTTCGGAGTCCGATAAAGTAAAGTTCGCAGCTTGTACCTTTATCGATAAGGCGCTGACTTGGTGGAACGACCGATTCAAATCCCTGACCCTACCTGTAGCCAATGCTATAGGATGGGAAGCCATGAAAGAACTTCTTCTAGCTGAGTACTTCCCTCAGGGCAAAATACATAAGTTAGAGCACAAGCTCTGGAACCTGAAGATGAAGGGTTCCGATATTGCCGCATACACCTCGAGGTTTGATGACCTGGCACTACTCTGTCCAGGAATGGTTACCCCGGAGAGTAAGAAGATAGAGAGATTTATTTGGGGGCTGAACCAACCAACCAAAGGAAATGTCGTATCTACGAGGCCGGATACTTATGATAGTGCCAAAAGCTTAGCCCAGACCCTGATTGATCACAGTGATGAGGTTGTGGAAACAACCACCACTCCTGAAATGACCAAGAGGAGTGGCGAGAAAAGAAAGTTTTGGAAGAAGAAGAAAGCCCAACCTTCTCATGGATCCTTAAAGAAACAACATATTGTAGTAGTCCATGCTGCTACTACCCCTGTTGCTACTGCTTCTGCCGTCGGATCCACAGCCCAAGTACCTACTAGTAGGTATGTTGGTAGCCTTCCTCTGTGTGAAAAGTGCAAATACCACCATAACCTCGACCGCTGCCGTGATCTGTCATGCACCAACTGTGGTAAAAAGGGGCATACAACTTGATTCTGCAAGGCACCAGCCCAATCAGCCAATCAATCTTCTGGAGCAGGTGTTGGTCAAGCCTGCTACAATTGTGGAGAAGTTGGGCATTTCAAAAGAAACTGCCCCGAGAAGGCAACAACTGATAATACCGGAAGAGTCCAAGCCATGGGACAGGAGGAGGCAGTCGCCGATCCCACAGTTGTTTCGGGTACGTTCCTTCTCGACAACTATTATGCTAGTATTCTTTTCGATTCGGGTGCTGAAAGAAGTTTTGTTAGTCATACGTTCAAACATAATCTAAAACCTAATCCCCAACCATTAACCGAAACGTTTACCATCGAGATGGCTAACGGTGAGAAAGAAAGCGCTCGCGATATATTCATAGGCTACACCCTTACCCTAAACGATCATTCTTTTCCCATTGATCTTATGCTAGTCTCCATAAAGAGATTTGATGTTATCATTGGCATGGATTGGTTAAGTCCCAATCATGCTAATATCCTTTGCTACGAAAAAACCATCTGTCTAAATCTTCCTGCGAGTCAAACTCTCATGATCTATGGCGATAAACTTAGTTCCAATCTTTGCATCATTTCCTGCATCAAAGATCAGAAATTCTTGCGAAAGGAATGCTAAGCATTCCTAGCCCATGTAATCAACGAGAAACAGGAGACTAAAGACCTCGCGAGCATCCCTGAATTCTGTAACTTTCCTGATGTATTTCTGGAAGAGCTCCCAGGAATTCCTCCCGAACGTTAGGTCAAATTTTGCATTGACCTAATTCCTGGAGCCACCCCCATAGCCAAGTCTCCATATCGTTTAGCTCCAGCAAAAATGTAGGAGTTATCTAGCCAACTCAATGAATTACTCAACAAAGGGTTCATCAGACTGAGTACCTCACAATGGGGAGCTCCGGTTTTATTTGTAAAGAAGAAAGATGTATCCTTCCGGATGTGTATCGACTACCGTGAGCTGAACAAGTTGACCGTCAAAAACCGATATCCCCACTACTAGAAAAAAGGCCTTTTACGACGCTCATTGCACGTTGTAAAACGCTCAGACGACGCGCAAATGCGCGTCAAAGAAGGCCCTGTCATAAAGAGAGACGACGCGCTTTTGCGCGTCGTCTACAGACGACGCGCATTTACGATGCGCATTTACGACGCGCGTTTACGACACGCAATGCGTATCAAGGAAGGCCCTGTCATAAAGGAAGACGACACGCATTCGCATGTCGTAACCTTACGACGCGCGTGTTAATGACACGCAATGCGTATCAAGAAAGCCCCTGTCAAGAAAGGCCATGTCATAAATGAAGATGACACACATTTTTGCGTATCATAATTTTAAATGTTTAAAAAAAATATTTTTAATAGATTTACTAATTTTCAAATTAAATTTAAATTTAATGCCTCATAATAGAAAATAAAATATCATTAACAAAAAATATAATCCATTTCATAAAATTTAACGTCATATACAAATAATCATTCCAATAGTAAGTAAATGTAACACATTGCTAATATTGCATAATATTTATTATTGAAAACAAAACATGTACAACATTAAAAGAAACCCTTGAATAAATTCTCCTTTGACAATCACCTTTGACAATTTTCTTTCTAAAAGAATAACCTGAATGCAAGAACTTTGAGAGGCTGCAAGGCACTAATATGTCAAATTTGTTTGTCTGCATGTTTTCAGCCAAATATAGGAAATTTCAGGAGTATGTATACATGTCATTTACATATATATATATATATATATATATATATATATATATATATATATATATATATATATATTGACATAACATAAAGCATACATTGACATAACATAACTAATTCCAAACAATTCAAACATGACAAAGGGAAAACAAAGGTGGCATACCTGATGCATTCACCCTCATCTTACAAGAAACCCTGCATTTGCTTCAATTTGCCAATTTCACGTTTCAGGTATCGATTTAAAGAATTGGTGGGATCGCAAGCATGACGTACCGGAGGGCGTTTCTGTCGGCGATCGATACGCAATCGTACCCCGTTTGGGATCAAGCCGTTTGGAACGTGGATCGTGACTACTTTGGCGAATCATGTGACTATGGTCCCCAACTCCTCAACGACTCCATGGAACATTTACACAATACCCTTCTCCACCCATGGACCCCACCTGATAACATATATAAGAGTGAAATGACCATTTTACCCTTCTCGATGTAAAAAATGAGAGAGAAAAAAAAATTAGGGTTATGTTTACCTCATGGGCAACGCCTGTACCAGGGTAGAATTTTCCACCTTCATGTCTATGTAAGGATATATACAACACCTATAACAATTAAAACCAGTATCATCAGAAATAGTCAGATAGTAATCTACAATGTTATTTATGATTTAAAATAAATTAATCAACTATATTGTTTTATATTTATGTTGAGTTTCATTTTTTTATAGGAGAATGAATGATAGTTAATTTTACATGGCCTCCTGCAATTTATTACCAGGAAACACTTATAGTGTTTATGTTTTTTTTAAATATCACAAACTCTTTGTGGTTAACCAAGAAAAAAATTATTTCTGTGGTTAAACCAAAAAAAATACAGAATATGGAGTTAACCATATAATAATAATATCATTAACAAGTTGAAGAAAGTAGTATCAATTATTGCACGAATAAAAAAAATAAAAATAAAATTACTGTTTTGTTCTGCTCAAATATTTCTTGAGTTCCATTTCCATGGTGTACATCCTGTAAATAAATAAGGTTAGATAACTACAACTCATAGTTTTTTTTTTTTTAATTACAAAGATTATTACCCAATCAACAATCAAGACTTTTTTTGCTCCTGCAGCTTGTGCTGCTGATGCAGCAATGGCTGCATTGTTATGCAGACAGAATCCCATTGCTTGTCTCACTCCAGCATGATGACCTGGAGGACGCACCTGACCCATGACCCATGACCCATGACCCACGACCCATGATCCATCAAACATAAAGATTAATGTACCTAGCAAATAACTGTTCTCTAATATTACAAATTTTATAAAATTTTAATTTGCAAAACTAAAAGATTAAACATAAAAGCTCATTAGAATCCAAATAACTGTTCTCTAATATTACAAATTTTATAAATAAAAATGGGTTATATTGCAAATTTTCATTCCATTCCTTCAAAATGAGAATTTACAAAAGAGAAGGAATCACACACACCTGCAGTTGCCAGGCTGGCAGCAATTGCTCGAAGACGATCTGGTCTTTCTGGATGAGGAAGAGACTTCCTTTCAACCTACAAATTATAAAGATCAAAAAATGATGACATCAAAGTTTTTTATTTATAAAACCATCAAGACTATTAAAAATAATTTTTTTAAAAAAATGAAAATTGAAATATCGGGAAGAATTCTTACTTCAGAATGAAGCAACATCCTGTCATCCAAATTAACAAAAGTAAAGGTCATATAAAACTATGTTAAAAAACATTTGATGTATAAAAACTAAAAAGAAACTTTTGCAAGGTCTTACAAAATTCTTCATTTGAAGATGACACTAACAAAATACTACCAAAAATCATATCCAAAAACCACAAAAGAACATGCTTCATACCATCCTCAGTCAAACAAACTGAATCCCATATCCTGCAAAAAAATATGAAAAAAAAAAGATAGTCAAAAACATGCAACCATAAAAAAAACAGTTTAAAAACAAACAATGAAGATCAATGGATATAAAAGAGCTTACATCATCGGACTCTTCTTTCTCTACAACTTTCTCCTCTTTCTTTAGCTCAGCTGCAGCAGCTGCAGCGGGAGCAGCACCACTACCACCTGTGGCGGCAACTGCAACACCACCACCGCCACCTGAAGGAACAGAAGCCAACTTCTCCCTTCCAGATGCAATCAATTCGGTGATATCTTTACCCTTAACCTCCGACAAGAGTAATTCAATTCTATCTTCATCAGCATCAGCTCCAACTGCATTAGTGAATATGATCATTATAATTGCCATTAAGCAAATCATACAGTTTATGAAGTTCAGGGTTTACATGGATGCAACATGGCACCTTAATTAGTGAGGACTGTTGGAACAGGTCCCAACCTTCTCACTCACACAACACAGATATATATGTATGCAGAAAGCAAATATAGAGATATGAAAGTACTTTGGACTCAAAGCTGCTGCACACTGACTTCTCATATTCAGAAAACAAAGGCTATATATATAGCCTGTAGTACATATCCAATGGAAACAAACTAAAACAGTCTACAAGGTTCTTATCTCTTGATCTTGCTAAACTTACTATTTTCTTCCTTGATTCGAACTTTCTTGTTTGGTCACTTCGAATCTTATTACTTGCTATTCAAACCACTTAGGTTTGATCTTGCTATCTTGCTTCAATCTTCCTCTATCTTGCTTAGACTCTTGCTGTACCTTGCTTCAATTTTCTTTCCTTCTCGATCAAAAGTGATCGCTTGCTGCTTCTTTCTTCTTTCTTGCCTGCTAGCATGTCACACAGTTGTGTTGTTTTTTTCTTCTTCTTCTTCTTTCTTCTGATCACAAAGACCTAGCACCACCGAGTCCTTTTTCCTGCTTCACTCTCTACAATGAATCTATCTCTCGGCAATGGAGGTGATCGGCTCCAACAATGATCGACCTCTTCTCTCTTGTCTCTCTTCTTTCTTCTTTCTACTTTCTTCATTCTTTTTTCTTCATGTCTTTTCTCTTTCTTCTTTCTTCTTTCTACTTTCTTCATTCTTCTTTCTTCTTGTCTTTCTTTCTTTCTTCTGATTGTTGCCAATCAAACATTCTTTCTCTTGCCGACCTGCTGCTGCTTCTACTGCTCTTGTTGCCCTGCAGCCAAAAGATCCTCCCTCCAAAAGATCCTCCCAAAATCATCAATCACAATTACAGAAGTTACAGTTAGATATTCCACAAAGTCCAAATCTAGAAAATGAAGATGCTCACATAAAGCCCAATCACGATGGATCAATGATTTCAAAAACGAAATGACAGATTAAGGGTGAATCGAATTGTAAAAATTATCTATTTCTAAGCGAGCATCCGAGTGTAATTAAGATCTAAGCCGCATCACAACAAATCAAATATTCAAATTAACGAAACTTACGAGAGATTGGAATTGTCCGTACAGTTTTGTTCCAGTGGCGGATGAGGCATTTTATCAAACATGTTGCGTGCATCATCGATTCTTCCCCATTTACTGTATAAGTCGATTTCTCGATTTCTATTTCTCTTTCTCCCATTCCAGTCTCCGACTTTCTGTTGTTGTGATTTGAGTAGTGCCACCACTCCTCCGAAGCCTCTGAGTTTTCTCGGTCTAGGTCACCAGACCTAATGTTGTTGGCAAGGGTAGGCGAGGTGAGATTGCCGGAGATGAGGGGCTCCATCGGCTGGGTAACGCTGGAAAGCGTTGGATGGTGGGGCAGGGCTAGACGGAGGTCAGAGGTGGGAGGCGCCAACACCAAGAGAAATGTCGGAGGTGGGAGAAGCTGTCGACGTCGAGAACCGAGAAGAAGAGAAAGGGTTTATTGAAGTGAGAATTGAGAGAAAGGGAAGTTGAAGAGAGAATGAGCAGTACAGGAGGGCATAATAAGGGCAAGTTCTTGAAAAAAAATCCCTAGCTACTAGGGAAATTAAAGTGGAGGGAGAAAAAAAAGGAAGGCGGGGATTTTAAGTTTTTGGGATTTCATTTTCCCCGGATGGAACGCGCGCGTTCTATTAAAATTTATAAAGCGACGGTTGTAGACGACACGCAGGTGCCCTCAGTGTTTTTATTTTTTTTTGTTTAGACACTAATTTTAGGGCACGCAAAAATGCGCGTCTGAAATCCTTTAAATTTTGGAAGAGATGACATTATTTTTTAGACACTCACCTTTGCGTATCATAAATCACTGCGTGTCATGGTTCGCGCGTCGTAAAAGGCTATATTTCTAGTAGTGCCCCTTCCACGAATAGATGACCTCTTTGATCAACTTCAGGGAGCCAACTATTTCTCGAAGATAGACCTTAGGTCATGGTACCATCAGCTACGAGTTCATGAGAGTGATGTTTCTAAAACAGCTTTAAGGACATGGTATGGACACTACGAGTTCGTAGTGATGCCCTTCGGTCTAACCAATGCACCGGATGTGTTCATGGACCTATTGAACCAGGTGTTTCATCCCTTCTTAGACAAATTCGTCATTGTGTTCATTGATGACATCCTTGTCTACTCCAGAAGCGAAGAAGATCACAAACAACACTTGAGATTAGTGTTGGAAACCTTTAGATCCGAGAAGTTGTACGTGAAATTTTCAAAGTGTGAATTCTGGATTCGGAAGGTAACTTTCCTCGGTTACGTGGTAAGAGAGGAGGCTATTCATGTGGATCCTTCCAATATTAAAGCGATAGAGAATTGGTCGGTACCGAAAACACCCACAGAAAGCCGTCAATTCTTGGGTCTCGCCGGCTATTATCAGAGAATCATCCAGAATTTTTCCAAAATCACCAAACCCCTAACCACTCTAACACAGAAAGGTGTACCCTTTTATTGGAGTGAAAAGCAAGAAACAACATTACAGACATTAAAGCAAACCTTGTGTAGTGCACCTGTTCTGTCCCTACCCAAAGGGACAGCGGAATTCATAGTCTATTGTGATGCGTCTAATCAGGGCTTAGGCTGTGTGCTTATGCAAAGAGGAAAGGTAATTGCTTATGCCTCGAGACAACTAAAGGCACATGAGGTCAACTATACCACACACGACTTGGAATTAGGAGCCGTAGTCTTTGCACTGAAGATTTGGAGACATTATCTCTACGGAACCAAGTGTATGATCTTTACTGACCATAACAACCTGCAACACATCCTCAATCAGAAGGACTTAAACATGAGGCAACGGCGATGGGTAGAGCTGCTCAACGATTATGAGTGCAAGATTCGCTACCATCCCGACAAGGCCAATGTGGTAGCAGATGCCCTTAGCCGAAAGAAATGTTCAAGCCGTAAAGTAAGGACACTGACGATGACTATCCATTCCCATTTATCCATGCAAATCCGAGACGCCCAGATAGAATCCCTCAAACCCGAGATCAAATCAAGGGGAAGCATGGTCGGTTGACTTTCCCAACAAATATGCTCCATTGCTTCGCCAAATCATTTTTGATTCAGCAGCAATGAGCATGTAAGTTAGGTCAATGAGGTTATCGTCATGATCCATCATATAATACTTTCTTTTGAACTCATTATATGATTCAGGGAGCGATTGCAGAACCCAGTTCACAACCAACTCATCGGGAAATGACACACCCAACATTTTCAACCTATCAATGTGTGATTTCATTCCTAGAACGTGGGTGCACACGGATTTACAATCTTCATGTTTCATTTCCAATAGGGCCTTAGTGATATTGAACCTTTCAATTCTTCTATCTTGTGGTTTAGGGAGAACAATTGGAGGAGGTGGAGGAAGTGAATCATGATTTCTTGTTCCTCGATCGAATCGTGGAATACCATCTTCATGTGGAATGCTTGTTCCACGGGATTTGGGAAGACCATGGTTGTCGAACTTTGACATCTACAAAACGGGAGAAAACAAATTCAAGTTAGTTGATCGATTGAGTCCTTAGTATATCACCCAAATGAGATACTAAGGCTAGGACCCAACACAATACGCTACAACCTAGAAAAGGGATGTCGTAATCTAGTTGCAAAATATTTGAAGGTAAGTGAATGACGATTCACTAATTTCCACCATGAAAAACAAAAAAGAAATTTAAGTTTTAAATCTATGAAAACTCCTAGATCCTTTGAGATTCATTGAACATTTCAATGGCATGTTTAAATCTCGATATGCCCCTCTTGTTTGTGACTGGGATGCCGAGGATCACAAAGCGGGTGTGAATAACCATGCAAACTTACATGGTGCCCTCACATGTTACAGTCACCTATTTGATGTGCCGGTAAACCACACACGCTCCACTAACATCTTCGCAAGGGCACAAAGTGTAATTTCATGGAATTGCATCAATTCACTTTGCCTAGGTAACTAAGATTGGGAATTTGAAAAACATTTAGTTACTTTGTATTTCATTATACTTATAATGGAAGGTTTCGTCCTATCTTACCCGTTCGGCTAACGACCCTGCACTAGTCAAGAGTGCGGTGGGTAAGGGTGGATACCCATTCAATCGCCATATTATAGGCAATTTCCTTAAACACCCCTTATAGACCAGCTTCGTGAATGAGGCCTACTAACGGTAAGACTGACTTTTACTCATACATATATATAATGTTAGACTTTTAATGTTATATATATAGTATAGGGTGCATTTTACACTTTTAAAATATTAGGTGATCAAATTTAACAATTATACTTTTAATTCAATTAAATTGTAAACCTAAACTTTTATGGATGTATTAAACCTCTTTTAATTATACACCTTAATTAATTAATAAAACCATAAGGGTGTGATTTGAACTTTTCAAAACATTACAAGGGTTTTAGAATTTAACATTCCTAATTAACTTTTAATCAACTTTTAAATTCCAAAACTTGAGGGCAAGTTTTGAAACACTTCAAAACATTAGGGTTTAGAATTTATATATATATACATATATATATATATATATATATATATATATATATATATATATATATATATATCACAATTAAAGAATTAATCAAAATTTAAATTCAAAACTTGAGGGCAAGTTTTAAAACCCTTTTCAAAACATTAGGGTTTTTACTATTTAAATTTCAAAACTTCAAAACTTTTGGGTTCAAATTTAAACTATAAAACCTAAAGGGGAAAATATGAAACTTTCATAACAACAATGATCAAATAAAAAATAATTCAAATTAACATTTAATCACATAATTATCCATATTTGATTTATTTAATGATTTCTTGCAAAACAATTTATCAATTTACTCAAAATAATTAATCAATTATCACATAAGGAAATAATTATCTTATTAATTGATAAATATCTTCAATTAGATCAAAATTATAGTCAAATATATCATATAATCGGATTAATATTGATCTAACATGATAAGGTAACTATCCATAAGCAAAAACAGCAAGAAAACCTGAGATTCCCTCCTTCTGACGAGCTGACTCGTTGAGTCAGGATTGGATTCGTCGAGTTTGCATGGACTCGGCGAGTCAAGCCTCCAAAACACCAAAAAACAATTTTTTTCAGTTATACAACGCATCAATACAATTGAAACCAAGCTAGGCTCTGATACCACTGTTGGGTTTTGGTCATAAGACATCCTATGTTCTCATACAAACCCTAAAGCTTGGATCTAGGTTTCTCTATTGTACATGCTTTGAATCCAAGACTATAAACCCTAATTCTAGCATATAAATAATCATATTAGCCATAAGAATAAGTTTAAGATATTACCTTGATTTTTATATAGCAATAACAATCCTAATTCCTCCTTGAATTGACTTTGGAAGGCTTAGAGTCACAAGTGTCACTCCTCTAATGGCTTACAAACACCAAGAGCAAATGGAGAAGTTATAAAGAGAGAGGAGAGGTATAAGAATTCGTCTCTAGGACCTCTTGGGAAGGGATACACGAATTCATGAGCCTTAGGGGGTTTATATAGGTGTAAAGATTAGGGTTTTAGTCCTTATCCTTATCTAGTTGCATGCCTACCAAGTAACCATAAGATAAGTCTTAGAAACCCTTATCCTAGTTGAATTCTAAGGCCTTATCACCTTAGAACCGTCCAACCCATTAATAAGATAATCCTTACCTTATTTTGTAACTATCACATAATTAGAATTCAACCCCTCTATTTTAATTAATTACACTTGATCACAAAATTAATTCCTAATTAATTATTGACCAATATTAATTAAACAAGTATGATTTCTCCTTTAATATATTATTCTCATAACATATTAATAAATCATAATAACCTCTCTATCTCTATTTATTTCTCCAATCAAGTTGCTTTGGTGAAGGCAACCCAAAAGGACCATGCACCATCGGGTCAAGTACATACCAAAATAGTTATGGACTTAGACACTAATCCAACAAAAACATGTTCATCAATTAAAGAACATGTGACATGAGTGTAGAATGGACATAACCTTCCATGAAAATAAAAAACAAAGTAAACTAAATTGGGTGAGCCTCAAGATGATGATCTTAGCTACACCCAGGGTCTTTAAGAAGCATATTAGAACAAATCTCTCAATGACCAACTTTAGTAAAGCACAAATAGTTACTCTGACCAGGGGTGCAAACAAACCCTATGTACATATCATGTGACAGCCAACATAAACCATACATAGAGTAACCAGGCGAAAGAGTATATGTGATAAATAGAAACATTCATAACCATGAAAAGCAAACATCGTTCAAATGATCGGACTCCTAAATTTAAAA